GGTGCAATATACTTAACTAATCTTAGTCGTACTAAACAATATAATACAGTTTAACTCCAGGATCGAGACGAGTCTCAATTAAGCAAAAAGTTACAAATTGACACTCAATGTGGTTAAAAATATTTAAATAATATAATTACTAACTATTCAACAAAAATTTGTGATATAATGATCTTTCAACATTTTTTTAAATTTACACTTTTTATAATTATTAATACAAAGATTTAGACTTGAAAAAAATCCCTTCGATCCGGATTTGAATCGACGTCTCCTAGCAAACAGTGCCAAACGCTACGCCAACTAAGCCATGGAACGAACCAGCGGACCTCACGAATTTCTCCATGTGTTTGTTGTCGTGTCTTTGTATTTGGTTTTTTCAACGACTTTTTAGCCGTAGCGCCATCTATGAGGAATCTTAAGTATTTCGTCACCCGGTTAGATATCTTTACAGCTTCCAACCCTGGCTAGAGATGTCGCTATTCATTGTATTTAAAATTTTATTGAGTTGATATTCAATTATTTTTTATGTGAAATTACTCCACTAGTTTGTTATAATTATTAATACAAAGATCGAACACATTTTTTGGTTTCATGACATTATTTAATACTATACTATAAAATGTCTAGATGTAATAAAATAGATAGAGATAGAGATAATGGAGAGATTTGGTAATTAATTTCTCGAAACCTTAAGAAGTTAGCAATTGCTATATAACGTGTTAAATAACGCTTTTTAAAGCTTACAGCCAATCGTTTTGAGTAGCCTATGATGAGATATAACAATACCAGCGCGTGCAATATAATAATGCATTTAGAATGCTGCTGGGACTGCCAAGCTGCTGGCATCGATCATGTTTATGGGAGCTGGTATGTACAACTTCCAGTCCATTGAGTCGTGGAAGGTAAAATTTTGACAGCATTTTAAATGCTATCAAGGGAAAATAGCGGTAGAGCTACTTGTGAAAGTGTTAGTCGAGCGATGTACTACCACTTTATCTATTACTGCTACCAAACACTGTGAGCATTACGGCTTGTTCGTGAAACTACAGGCACATGGGACTTGTCAACTTATGTCTCAGGGTGACGAGCGCAGTGGCAGTGCCCATAAGATCTTTGCAATTTAAAACCCTGTCCGTCCGGTCACTTGCCATCATAAATACATTTTTATGAAAAAAAAAAACTAGACCTCAAAAGATCGTGGATTTTTTTTCACAGTCATAGTCCCGCACTTGGGACATCCTGTATCGCGGGTGCCATGGAAACACAAATAGACAACCACAAATTACACCCAAACTCAACACGGGAGAAATAAATGTATGCCGTAGAAATATTTCTCCCGGCCCGAGAATCGAACCCAGGATCTCTGCGTGGCAGTCCGGCATGGTAACCGTTCGGCCACTGAGGCAATGAATTACATCTATTTGCCAAGTTTTATTGCAATCGGTTACCGGTAAGTTTGTGAAACCGGATTCATCCCCTAGTTTGCCACCCTAAGAGGTGGAATATTTTCTTCAAATTTAAATGGGACCAATGCTGAGGTACCTTCTTTCCTATAAAAAAGAATCATTAAAATATGTTCACAAATCATAATACTCGCGTAACATACATATAAAAGAAAATACATTCGAATTGAGAACCTCCTCCTTTTTTAAAGTTGGTTAAAAAAAAAAATAATTGTCCTATCTTAAAATATTGGACATAGAAAGTCAAGGACGTAGTCCAATTTTTAATATAATTAGCTTAAAATTCTGTTTGTACTGTTTGTCTACTTACCTTTTACGAAGTACTTTTACAAATATGTTATGGATATTTTTATGGTCCGAAAAAAAAAAAATTCGTCCCGTCACCTGGTATCATAAGAAAAAGGGTATTCGAAAGTCCATCACCATCACCTTGGTTGTTGAACCATACTAAATACGTTGTGTTGCTCAAGCAAATGATAATAAGTTATTAATTGAATAATAAGGATGTAATTAAAACTATAATAATATATAGTCCGTGCTTTCAACTTGATATTCCATTGTTCTCCTCATCCTGATTGTGTTTTTGTTGATTTTTGTAATAGAAGAGGTAACTTATTGTGGTTGTATAGTCGCCAGTTATTCACAGAATTCATAATAGCATTGACTATTTATTGTAACAGTTATCACGGTGTAATCTAAAATTGTTTCATATCTAATTTTTCATTGCATCGTAGATTAATTTAAATTAAACATACTTTGTTATTTTTAATAAAACTTAAATTCACTGAGATTTAATTTAATTCTAGTTGTAAAAAGTAGTGTAGTAGTTGATAAAAGCAATATGGTGACTGTAGTAAACGAAAAAAGAAATAACAATATGAAAAAAATTACTTTGTTCATAGTGTTCTTGTCAACAAAGGCAAACAGTGAAAAAAATGAAAGCTTAATTTACGCACTGCAGTGGTTACCTTCAGATGATGACATACTAATAGAAGATATTGAATATGGACAAAAAGCCTTTTATAACCGTAAATGTAAGTTTGTTAACTGCTACGTGGCCACCAGTAAATCTCTTTTAGGTATAGCTATTACAAATTTCGATGTTATATTATTTAATGTCGTTAATATACGACCACCTACGATTTTACCATTGTCACGAAACACAAATCAGAAGTATATTTTTTATGCTAAAAACTCTGCAGCCACAAACACAATATCGAATCAATTTGATAAATATTTCAATTTCACCTGGACGTACAAATTAGATTCGGAAATTTCTATACCGTTTATTGTAGTTACGAATAAATTAGGCGATGTAATGGGACCACAAACAAATATGAATTGGATGAAAATCACGGCGATGAAACCAATAAAACAAAATATTATAATTGAATTAAAATCCAAGAAATTTGCAGTTGCATGGATTATGACGAACTGTAGAGCAAATAACAGACGTATTAGATATGTTGAAATGTTACAAGAGAGATTGTTATTATATCAAATGAAACTGGACATTTATGGATGTGGTTATATTGAATGTCCAAATTACAATAACAACGGATGCTATGCGATAATAGAGGATTATTATTTTTATTTGGCATTCGAAGACTGGCTTTGCGAAGATTATGTTACTGAAAAGGTATTGCATGCTATAGATCACTACGCGGTGCCAGTGGTTTATGGTGGAGCCAACTATACAAGGTTAATATCTAATATGTTTTGTAATTGTAGATTTACTCAGAACCGTCAATTTGTCTCAACATAGCACTGACTCTTACAATTCTGACGTTAATAGTCCCGTAAAACATCGGAGTTATATTATACACTCGAAACTTGACTCGATAATGTTATATAGTTACAATAATAAAGAAATCGATTTTTTTTAGATTCTTACCAGATGGATCATATTTAAATGCACGCGATTTTGACCCGACGACACTAGCAAATGAGATTGCCGCCATTATTATGGACAAAAACAAACTTTACGATTTTTTTAAATGGCACAGATACTACGAATTCAAATCTGCTTTTAAATATAAGCATAAAGATGGAGTATGTGACTTTTGTGCTATGGTAAATAACATAAAATTGAAGAATGTTCACTACTATATACGTTTGTCTAGTTGGTGGAATGGACCACTCATAAACGTTGTAGACCCAGAAGTCACTACAAATTTTGTAGGAAATTCAGTCGACACAACAAAGTCAGACGAACCCGAGAAGTCAGATTTTTCTGATGTATTGTCAAAACTATACAATTTCTTTTTTGAATTAAAATAAAGTACTCTTGTGCATAAGACTGATTTTAAACTAAATTTAAATACGAGTATTAAGTGTCAAGGTTCATATGGTCTTGACCCTGTAGTATAAATGGCCAAAAAAAGATGATTGGTTGTGCGAATATATGTCTATTCCTATTACTTGCATGAGTCGCAGTTTGTACATGACACAAAATTACTTAATAATATTAAATGCGTGGAGATAGCGTCTCCTATAATACAATTATATTACAAAATTGGATCATTGAAGTGGATCCTTGCGCCAGGAAGATATATATACTTTGATACAAATTAGAATATTGCGTATGTGTAACCTATAGTTTTTCGTGTACATTTCGAAATCTTACCCATAACGCAGTATAAAAAGACAAGTATGGCAACTCCATACAAACGTAGCAGCGCGACTTGCACACACTCGCATAATCTCGCGATGCACTCGTGTTGCAGAACGCTAGTCGTCACACGCATCTTTAAGCTAATGTGTGCGTCTATATACGGCGTCGTGGGCCTACACACAGACAAAACACGCTGCTACTTTCTTTATTTCGTTTCGAATATTTTATACCAGTAAAATTGGCCCACTTCTGCTCTAACACCTCGGTTAGGCGATAACAACAAGAATTGTCTGATATATTCTCGTCTAAAAGCAAGCCAATTCAAACTAGATTGTGTTTCACATACCACTTTAATCGATGATGAGGATCCGAAATTGAAAAAAAATCATAAAATGTACCAGACAGCTATATCAATTACCTATACTCAAACTAAGGAATTCCCTGTACCAGAACAACGGTATTCACTTTCACACAAAACAGAACCACTTAAAAAAGATCATTTCCTAAATTAGACCTACCATTGGATCTCAACTACCGTTAACACAGCAAACCGTTGGGCCGTCGAAGTCATCTTCTATTTATTTATCGATACAATTTTTAAAGAAAAAAGTTTAGTTTTGCCTTTATTACATCTCTAAAGTGATTAAAATTGTGTGATAATAAATACATTAGTGAATTGGGATATAACTGCATGGAAACGTGTAACGTCTTAAGCCATTTCAGTAATCTATCTGTGTAATTAGGAATTCCGCTATTTTCAAAATTTACAATATTGTAAACGATAGAAAATTGTATTTAAAAATCGACAAATATCTTCAATAATACAAACAAAATGTGTCATTAAATTCACCATTGCAAAAATTGTTATTAATTTAGAATTTTTAATTAAAAAAAGAAATAAGCATTTTTTTTCTATTCAACAGTTTCATATACTGGTATCGCGGGAACAATGTGGTGAACTACGCTCTTCGAGGCGGTATTAGCGTGGAAACTGAACAAAGAACTCGTACCAGCCGACTTCTCATCGCCAGAGCCTCACCAAGGGACTCTGGTAATTACACTTGTGCCCCTAGTAGCTCTGGTAAGTAACGATACTCATTTACTTATATTTTTAGTTTTTTACATTTACTTTAACTAATAGCCGTAGAGATCCTTGCGAAAGAGCTCGTCCAAGGAAGTACTGCCATCTTACCTATTTCGATCGCCTAGCGGTGTGAGCATTACTACATTCACGTTTTGAAAGGTACGCGTGTGAAATTACAGACACATGGGACTTGTCAACTTATGTCTCAAGGTGACAGTGGCAGTGGAAATGCCCCAAAGTTCTGAGTGGTACTGCAACTGGTATGGATAGTCCCGTCACGTGGTATGATAAAAAAAACAATAATCAAAATGGTCTCTTGATTAATGAAAACACCTTTCAACAGATGCTAAACGACGTGGTCTATGTTATACTTAATATTGGTCGTCACGTAGCTTCTGTATCTTATTTTGTTATTATAAGCTTACCAATAATGAAAAGCTATGAAGTAGTTTCCGTGTAAAACAAATTGAGTTTCCATTTGGCGTAGTACATAACCCCATAAAACTAGGTTTTTCACTCTTTACGGCCAACAATAAAATAAGTGTCACCCATTTTATGTATTTTCGCTCGCTACCACAACGCCCTATATCTGTCTATCGCATTAAACTATTTCTCTTATCCACGCCCCATTCTCGGAATCCTGAGTAAACCCGTCGAATTCTACTATTTGCTTTGCGATATTATCAGCTGCTTGTATTGTCCTTTCGCTGATTTAAATTCACTTACATATATACCAAGAAGTTCAGTGTTACTTATGACGAATTTCTTAACTAAAAATAACATGCATTTGAGTAATTAGTGTCGCCAAAGAATATATATGGTTTTCTTTATTCACAGCCACATTCGACTGGGTTTTTAATTTAAAAATCATCTTGTGGTAAAATGTGGAGTTCGCAATGTTAGACGTCAGGATCGATTCTATCGTAGATAATAAAGGTCCCACAGGAATATCGATGGCAACGCTAGAGCTGTGGACGATAACCTAGATTATAAATTGCCAGCTTCTTTTCACTGTTCACTGAATAATCATTTATATGGTTTGAAAAACTCTGAATTATATGGTTTGAAAGACTCTGAAGTTGGAGCTTGGAAATAAATCTTATTTTGAATGTTTTATCAAAAACAAATAAAATAATAAAATGGAAATGTCATAACTCCGGAATGAGTTGGCGAAACGTTGGAGTAACATCGACAGCTTTGCGCCAACAGCGAGGCGGGGCAGTTTACAACTTTTCACGACATCCGTTTAATTTTAATACTGCTTGGCAGCGATATACACGTCGTTATGCTAAAAGATATGAATATTGTGCAAATATAATAGTTCTTCTATCTCCCTGAGAAAAGAGATTTCGATGAACTAGATAATACATCTTTACAGTAGATTTCAATATGGATTTCCTTATATGAGGAAGATAGTGAAACCAAACCAGTAGCAGTAGAGGTCCTTGTGAAAAAGTTTGTCCAGGGAAATACTGCCACCTATTTCTGCAGTCAAACAATAATGTGAGCATTACTGCGTTCCAGTTTTGAAGAGTAAGGGTGCTGGTGAAATTACAGGCACATGGGACTTATAAACGTATGTCTCAGGATCACGGGCGCAGTGGCAGTACTCCTCTGTGTGTGTATGACAGTGGCACTGCAACTGTTATGGACAGGCGTGTTGTCTACCAGATATTAAAAACAATCCGTTCTTCAACACCACATTTCGAGGTTTCATGCCGTCTCACCGCCTTTTGTAAGACATCTGTAGTATTGTTAATTAGTCTATTGCGCTGTTATAAATTGTTGTTGTTGGTGAACTCGTAGTCAACTAACAATGTTTTTTTTGTCAATGATAAAAATTCCCACTCTATTACAAAATCAGACCGAAAACTCTTGATTGATGTACTGACACTTCAACATTAAGGCATTCTTTTATCTTTGAGTTTCACCTATCGGAAATGAAACTATTTTTCCGGATTTAAATCGCGTATATTTGTTTCTTCAAACAAACCGACGTTTCGGGCCCTTTACAGGTCCGATGTTCACGGTTGACTTGTAAAGGGCCCGAAACGTCGGTTTGTTTGAAAAAACAAATATACGCGATTTAAATCCGGAAAAATAGTTTCATTTCCTATGAGTAACAATCGCAAAAACCTAAGAACTCGATATTTCACCTATCGTTTATGCTTTTTCTATTGACATAGAGTGGTCTAAGCGGTACTTAGATAATACAATTTCAATTTTGTAGCCGTTGCTACATAACAGGGACTAGAATTCTAGACGTCCTTTAGGTCGATGTGCCAAAACATTAACGAGCATTGCGCTAAAAATTGTTGTGCCACCGGTAATGTTATTATTTATTGACGTAAGCCTAAATTGCCATCACGGACAGTTAACGCAATGGTTTGGGAAACGGAAAATACTGCTTCGACGTTTAACTGAAATATGGATTCGATTTCAATGGTCGATAACTCTGTTGATATACAGCATGCGGGATAACGTCATGACCAATGAAAACGGTGAATCGTTTTGAACCAAATTTAGTAAAAATTATAGCAATTGGCATATGTGTGACAAGGACAACTTCCGCATCCCTTAGTGGTTTCGTGTTGATAAATAAAATTATGTAGTGTTAAATTTTGAATTCATATTAGCCTTTATCATTTTATGTAGTGTACAATTAGATTTTTTAAATATTTTATACATTCTCCTTTTAGTCGATTTAAAATATACAATTTAAGTCAACTACAGTTGTGGTCACATTGGCCTTTTTAGAAGCAGTAGAAGCTCCCTGTGAAAGAGTTCGTCTTAGATTTTGAAGTGTAAGTGTGAAAGTGGAACTACAGGCACATGGGACTCGAACTGTATGTCTCAGGGTGGCAATGCGCCTTAAAGTGTTGAACTGCAGTTATTACAGATAGGCGGTAGGCATATCACGCGCCATCAGGCGCACGATTTGTTCGGCCTGACACTTAATGTCATAAAAAAATGTGTTGAAACATGCTTCAGAACTTATATGTACATTTTTTTGTGTACTAATGGTATGTCGAAGAACTTTTAACTACGTTACTGTTGATGTGCCTTGAGATAAATAAATAACATTAAACTGATGATATCGTATATATGTACAGTAGCAACTCTTTAGTTTTTAGTAGCCGTAGAATTCCTTGTGAAAGAGTTCGTCCACCTTACCTATTTCTGCCGCCAAGCAGTAATGTCAGCGTTACTGTGTTCCGTTTTGAAGGGTAAAAGGGGTCTAAGGTGACGGGCGCAGTGGCAGTGCCCGTAAAGGATCTTTGCGATTTAAAGCTCTTAAGTGGTACTGCAACTGTTATGGACAAGCGTGTAGTAAGGCTTGTCCATAACAGTCGTGCGCCTGATGGCTTTTGTCCGTCACTTGATATTATAAAAAAATTCTTTCTAGATGCAATTCTATTCTCTGTCACAGAGTATTTAATAATGTTCGTAGAGGGAGACATTGACGTGAACGCTGACAATTGCACGAATGTCATTACATCGTTCCCTCGAAGACAATTCTCTTATCTACATTATATATATATATATATATATATATATATCACAAATAGAGTAGTAGCTCGTTACGACTCTTTTTGACCCCACTATTATACTCCGTCCAACCATTTATTTAAGTTTTGACACATGCATGCCTCCGAAGTTCTGTAATTATTGACTTACAACCATAGACAAAAAATGCAATACTTTCTGGACTCTTTATTTTTCAATTTTAGTGAAGCGACGTCCTTTTATTTATCGAGCCAACAGATTATGTATCGAAAATTATTCAAGTTGATAAATTTTGGTACCTGTCTAATAAATTATAATGAAATGAAATAAATTATAAATAATTGTAATAAATTGTTATTGTTTATTACAAGGAGTCGTCGGATTCTTCTCTATATTTTCAGGAATCATCACTTGAATCCTCATTAATATTAATTATTAATTCTTGATTAGGTACACAAATTGTCACGATCCCAATCAGGCAATATCTTTTTTTTGAACCCGCTCACATTCACGATTTAAACAAAATTGATTTTTATAAAAAAATCGAATCAGAAACGCATTAGGACATCACTAATTGATTAGAATTTGAGCTGTCAAAAGTTAAATAAATGTTTGGACGGAGTTTAAGAAATGTCCGGGGTAATATAAACATCAACGCTTCAAGTAGAATATTTATAATTTATTTTTCTTTGTTTGCAGATTCAGCGTCTGTTGTGGTCCACGTGGTGAGCGGGGAAAGACCAGCCGCGATGCAAAGTATCGCCGTGAAGATGGCTCCATTACCCTCATTTCTCCTTGTAGCTGCTCTCACTGTAGATCAAAGTAGAGCAACTTTTGTTGCTATACAAAATATACTAACAGGTCTCTTCATGAGCTTTAAATTAAAACTTAAATTAAATATCCTTAGGTTTATTACCAGATGACCACCATTCGTTGTTGAAAATAAATAATTAGCATGAAATGCATACAGTTTAAAAATAGCCCTTAGATTAAATTTAACTGAAACGTATAAAGAAACGAATTACTGTAATAAAAATTTCTAGTGAAGTTTTTTTACGCTAATATCTGCAAAAATCTGGAGGATAATGCTCTAGAATCTTCTCAATTAGTTACAAATACAGGTAAAAATCTTAAATAAGAAGTATCAAGTAGCGTCGATGTCATTTTTTGTACGTAGTAACTAATCTAAATTATTGAACGTCAATAAAAATCACGGAGATAACATTTCTGTCTCTATATTGGGGCTAAAAGATTTTAGTGCTATATGATTCTAGGGTCGGCAAAATAAAGCGTGTAAGTCGAAAAAAACCTACATCATTTATTTAAATTA